TTGCAAGCAATTTATATGAGATTTGAGTGTGCACTCCTAAAGCTACTTGAACGAGATAGAAGAATCAGTTTCATTGTGTCTTTCTTTTATTCTAGTTCAATTGTAGTAGGTGGTTTAAAATTGTACCTTTCAGCTTTCATAGAAGCAATTGTATTAGGTACTTAGAGTGTTCAAGTTATAGGTAACTTGAAGTTGTCGCAACAGTTGAGGCTGTGTGCTACAACGGGATTAGAGTTAATCCTTAGGTTTACAAAGAATTTTTGTAAATGCTGTTTTGGCTCAGTGATTTTAGTGAAAGTTTGGGAAAATCCTACTGAGTAGTAGGTCGTGGTTTTTTCATCTTTTGAGCCAGGTATTTTCCACGTAAAAATCTCCGTGTCCTTTATTTTCTGTATTATTATTTCGCAAACAGTAGTAGTTGGAACACCTAGAAGAACCAGGTCCTTCCATAAACAACTTAAGCGAAAATTGGGTAACACACAAATCACCCCCCCTCTTGTGTGGTATTGACGCTTAAAACATCAATTGGTATCAGAGCGGGTTATCCTTGAAGAGGCTAACATCTTAGGATAAGATCAAAATGAGTGCACCACCTGGAAACTGGGAAGGGCAATCCACTGCTAGGCCTCCACTCTTTAATGGTCAGTACTATTCTTGGTGGAAGAACAGGATGAGAGATCACATCATAGGAGAAGACTATGAACTCTGGGACATAGTCACTGATGGTCCTCTAGCAACTACAAAGAAGAATGCTGAAGGTGTGGATGTGCCAAAGACAAGAGCTGACTGCATATGTCTGCTGAACTGCTGAAGATCTGAAGAAATGGGAGAAGAATGCCAAGACAAAGAAATAGCTTGTGTGTGGACTGGGTCCAGACGAGTACAGCAGGATTCAAAGCTGTACTACTGCAAAGGAAATATGGGACACTTTACAAGTGGCTCATGAAGGAACTTCTCAAGTAAAGAGATCAAGAGGGACACTGCTATATTCTCAATATGAGAATTTCAGTATGAAGGAAGGAGAATCTATCCAGGAGATGTACACAAGGTTCACAACACTAACAAATGAACTTAAATCTCTTGGGAGAATTATCCTTGAAGAAGACAAGGTTGAGAAAATCTTGACAAGAGTCTTACCAGTGACTTGGGAAAGCAAAATCACTGCTATTCCGGAATCAAAGAACATTGCTACCCTCAAGCTGGATGAACTGATTAGAAACCTCACAACCTATGAACTGAGAAGGCAAACCATGAAAATGGATGCACCCAAGAAGGAAAGAAGTTTGGCTCTCAAAATAGCTGAAGGTTCAGATATGGAGGATGATGAAATGGCCATGATCACAAGAGATTTCAAAAAGTACCTGATGAGAGGAAAGGGTTCTTCAAGAGGTACAACCTTCAACAAACCAAGGGTTCTTGAGAAACAGACCAACGAGGGTTGCTACAAATGTGGTAAGACTGATCACATGATCAAGAACTGTCCTCAATGGGAAATTGAGTGGAAGAAGGAAAGGGCTGAACGAAGGAACAAGTTCAACCCAAAAGGAACAAAGGATCAACAAAGGCTATAGTTGCTGCTTGGGGAGAAACATCAGATGAGGACTCAGAAGATGAAGCTGGAGATGAACAAGCACTTATGGCCATCGGAGAATCAGATGATGAACAAGAGGTAAGTGTCCTTCATCTCAAAGACAAGATTAAATTCCTGTCTAAAGAAAGGTTGTCTGAGCTATTGCTAGACTTCATTGATGAGTTTGAGATAATTAACAATGAGAAGGAAGATCTGTCTAGGGAATGTGTGATCCTAAAAGCCAAATGCAAAAATATAGAATCTAGGGCTAATGAGAGTGATAGTAAAAATACTGAGTTGAAGAACCAGGTTCTTGAACTTGACATTAGTGTCCTAGAACTTAGGTCTGAGAACTTAAAACTGAAACTAGGAACAAGTAAGAAGAAAGCTGATCACACTCATCTCACCCTAGAAGAAAACTTAGGAAAAATGAAGGATGAGTTGTACAGGAAGGATGAGCAGATAAGAGTCTTAAAAGAAGATCTAGGGAAGGTAAAACATGAACTAGACAGAACTTGCAAATGGAACAAGGCTTCTGATGCACATTCCTGGCTACAAGAACAACATAGTAGCAACAAAAGAGGATTTGGCTATGGGACTCAAGCACCTAAGTGGGATCCTAAAAGCAAGTACCTCACTCATCCTGAGAACAAATTCTGCACACACTGTGGNTCCCCCCCCCCCCCCTTCTTGTGTGGCATTAACGTTTAAAACATCAATTGGGCTAGCCCATTTTCTTTCTTTGTAATTATTAACTGAGTTGGGTTAGGAGGGGAAGTCGGGTCATGTATATATATATATATATATATATATATATATATATATATATATATATATATATATATATA